ATCAGTTACTGACGTTTACAGTCCTTGGGTAAGCTGTGGGTTTTTAAGAGACATATTTACTACCGGTCTAACTTGCCGCTGGGCAGTCTCTCATCGCTCTGCCTATTTCGTACTGGTCGTATCGGCTCCGCCTATCGTCTCCGCGCAGGTATTAGCGCGGCCACCAAAAGAAACGCTTAACATGTGGGTTAGAAGTTCCACGGTATTTAGGGCATGCATTTTATATAACATTTGTTGACTGTTTGGTACAGGCAGTCTGGGGCTTATATGTGTGATCATCGCTTCACGGTCGATCAAAGTTGCTTTAAGGATATCTACAACCCTCTCGCACTCCCTTAAGCTGAGTAACGGTTATCTAATAGTCGAGGCCATGTTTTCTCTTGTTACTGGGCCGCATACATCAGAATGATTAACAAATATATAACAAATGTCTAGGTAGGTAGCGGACAAATCCTGTGCATGTTGCGGGCTAAAAATCCGGTGAGATGCGGCCCAACGCCCATTGACCTGAAGAAGTGAGATAATCTGCCATCACTACCAGACCCTACAGTTTGTAGATTTCGATATTGAAAGACGTTCTTGCAGGAGATTCAAGTTTTCAATTGACCAGCACCGCCAGAAGTAGTGATGCACGGCTGCAATGTGCTTTCAACGATTGGTAACTGAGAGCTTCAGGATGTCCTAGTTACAAGGTCTGATATCGCAATCATAGGTCTGCCTAGAAAAAAATTACCTATCGTGAGGGCGACAATATCGTTTGCATCTGTTAAGAGCGGTTGAAGAGGTCGTAAGTTCCAGCCTTACTTTTAATATAAATTTTTTTAGGACACTAATTTTTTAGTTTCTTTAAAGTAAAACCAAATATTTTTTAAAAAGGGATTAGGCAGACACGAGTTTTGAAGTTGCAAAGAACCAATAAAGTTGGAGGGAACTGTTCCAAAATATCTAATTAGAATTGACAACAAGAAAGGAAGTTAACTTCGGCAAGCCGAAGTTTGTATACCCTTGCAGTTATAATTATTAAATTTAAAAATACAAAAAATGATATTGCTAATAGTATAAGATATAAGATATATGATATAGTCGTCCGATTTTAATAAAATTAAATTCGAAACTCAGAACTAATAAAAAAATGTTATTTCCAAGCGTAGGGGTTATATGTTAAAAAACATGTTATTTGCCCACAAATTTTCTATGGCAGCTATATAATATAGTTGTTATTTACAAGCTTAGGAGGTTATATGATAAAAAACACCAAAAACATAATTTTAAAATTTTTTTTCCGATTATTCCTTTAGGAGCTATAAGATATAGTTGTCCGATCCGACTGGTTCCGACTTATATACTACCTGCAAAAGAAATAAGACTTTTGGGAAAGTTTCAGCCCGATAGCTTTAAAACTGAGAGACTAGTTTGCGTAGAAACGGACGGACAGACGAACAGACGGACATGGCTAGATCGACTCGTCTAGTGATGCTGATCAAGAATATTTATACTTTAAATCAATATACCCTCTGCAAGGGTATAAAAATAAAAACAGAATTTTAATCAATCAAAGAAGTGAGTGAGGTGATGTTGGAGTATTGGCCAGTCATCAAATCCTTTTTTTTGTGTACCAGGATCTGGGCCCCGAAGAGGGTTGACCGCCCGAAAAATAAGAAGACCGAAAAAAGAGGGAAAATCTTAAAATCATAGCAAAGTGAGTCCGTTCCTAGAAGAACATAAAACTAATTATATTAAATCTTAAAAATTTCAGTGGGTAAGTTTTTTTTAAAAACAAACAAAATAAAAACATTTTATTCCGCATCTGGGCCACGTGTCCCAACGCCTCGGATTTCCGGCATGGAACGATAACCGAGAAGCCGTAACTCCATCCTCAACGAAAATTTAACTTACTTGGCGCTGCAAAAAAATAATGGAAAATTTAAAGAAGAAGATATTAACTACCGCTTATATATATCATATTTATTCCATAACTTATCGAAATATAGTCCACATTATTTACGTAATCGTCCATCCATAATAATTAATACTCTTATTTAATTGTTTACACGTTTGTAGTTAATTAATTTTCTATATTTATTTATTTACCCTCTCAGTGTCTCATGCTACAATAATTTATATACACTTGCCAGAAAAAGTATGCGTACAAAAATTTCCGTGAACTTTAGAGTAAAAAAAAAACATGTTAAGAAAATGTTAAAAAAGAATCAGTTAAATTCGCCACCGCAGTCCCCAGATCTCAATCCAATTAAGCATTTGTGGGACCTCCTGAAGCGCAGGATCCGCCAGCACACCATTACATCAAAGGACAAGCTAAAACAAGTGATGGTCCAGGAATGGAATAAAATATCGGTGGAGGACACAACAACGAAACGAAAAAAATACGCATACTTTTTCTGATGCGAAATCGAGCCATTTTGTACATTTTAATTTATATAAGGAAAAGTATAAATGTTTGAAATTTAACAAATTTTTAAGATTTTTTTAACTCTAAAGTCTAAAAGTAAGAAAAGGCAAATAATTAATATATCAATATCAATCGATCGTAGATAACGGAATGTGATAGGACAAATCTTAAATCAGATGCATTCTATACCAACATTTAAAACTAAACAACAAAATGGTCTTAGATTATCAAACTTAAAAATTTAAAATAAAAATAATTGAAAAATTGTGAGTCTCGCATGCATTCGGGAAGATACAACAAAATGAAATAAATTAGAATTGGTAAAATAAAAGCAAAGGTACACTCGTATACAGGTACACTCGTATATACAATAAATTCTCCATGGCCCCAAACTGAGGGAAGAGTCTTAGTCATGACCCCCAAGTAAGGAAGGGCAAGCATTTTGGTGGAATTTAATAGGTAAACAAGTGTTGCCTTAATTAAAATATTATTTATGTGTGGGTACTGACCGTCAAAAAAAACGTCTAACGACTATCGCGACATTTGCTAGAAGGAAACAAATAGTCTGAATACACTTGGATTATACAAAGGAAAGTCCTTAAAATGGCATTTAATGTTAGTAATTATCTATATTAATAAATGTTGTAACGTGTTGTAATTGTTCATAAGTGGGGAGGGGAAACAACAACATGCATGTCCATGGAGTAGGCTAATAATAGTCGCGAAGGGTAGTTCCAGCGGGAATCCATTGCTGAATCTTAGGTAGGGTGGGGTGTCGGAGTGTTCTATTGATCTATAATAGAAGTCGTCTACTTGTTTCTTTACTTTAAGTTTTTTTTTCACTGAATTCCGGGAGTCAAAATAAATTACACAAGTCTACAGTGTTCTGATAGACGTATTAATAAGTGTTTAACGAGAAAAGAAGATAAGTCAAAACGACATTGGTACGCAAAGGCAGCTCTCTGTGCAACAAAACAACGCATATTTTTCTTTTGTAGCCGAACCAACCAAAAATTCTGCTGATGCAAAAACGCAGCGGTCAATTACCCCCAACCCGACGACCGAACTCTTGAACTCAGCAAGTAAGCAATCTCTTTCATACTCTCCAATGCTACCGTCTCGCAGCGCAGAGCGCACTGGTAACGAATCACCGATTAAAACAAACCCAACTAAAACAAATTCTGCGAGTCAAACGAAAGTTAAGCCCTTTCAACTCCAAATTAAAAATTACCCGTAGCAGTTCCAGCGCATCTTCAAGCGAAAAGACTAATAACAATAGGTTCTAGCAGTCAACTCTGACGAACCCGAAGAAGATTGTAAAAAGAAGCCAAGGCCACACGTTAGAAAAGCTCCAATGCTCTTGCTAACAAAATGGTAGAGCTTATTGAAAAGGACAACATTCATATATGTAGTTCCCCTTGTACGGGGTAATGTCCATGAAACTAAAGTTCAAATGAAGTCGGAAGATAATTATAGAGTATTACCGAAGACTTTAACCGGCAACAAGCCTTACTTCTGCACGTACCAACTAAAAAGCAGCAAGGGCCTACAAGTAGCTTTTAAGGGCATAGAGCAGTGGTCGGCAGCGGCCTATCTAGTGGGCATAGGGAAGTGTTCTGCCCATCCTCTGCTCGCTCACGTATAACGTACATGTTCGTGTGACTTCGGCATGGGTCTTCGGGTCATTTTTTCTCAACTTCGGCGCGCTTTTTTGTTGCTGTGGCAGAGGATCTCAGTGCAAAGCAGAGAAACGTCTCGCTACAGCACGCCGCGCGCAAACTTCGTGTTTGTTACACTCACACTAATGCAAGGCAAACTTGTGATGATATGTGTGTGCCGACCACTGGCATAGAGTCTTGCTGGTGTTACAGCAAAAATTACTTTGGCGTTAGAAAAGGCATATAACGCTAAGCCAGTCTTCACCATTTGAAGCGAAGAAAGGAAGCCCATCCGCTATTTTAGGTAGAACTTGAACCAGCTAATAGTTCTCTTAAAAACTTAAGTGCACCCTATTTAGAAACTTCAATTTCTATTACATCGTAGAATCACTGTAGAAGAACCATACAATCGCAACGGACCTGTACAGCCTATGAATTTTCAAGAATATGGACACACACGGTCATACTGAACACTGCGCCCAGTGTGTAAAGCTTGTGGAGAGCTTCATGACTCCGCACACTGCACATTGAGCAAAGACGTTCAATGCTTTAAAAGGTGCAGCAATTGCGGCGGTAATGACACCGCTCAGAGGTTGCCCAATATATAAGGAGGTGAAAAGTCGAATCTATCAGCGAGTGTTTAAACCATCTAAATCAACCCCTGATGTATTCTTTGCGAACGCAGCTAGATAGTCATCTGACTTTGACTCCGAGTCCGCCACAAGAAATGCTTGAGTTATCTCAATTCCTACTTGACAAACATATTAACGTAATGTTGCTCTCAGAAACTCATCTTACAAATAAATATAACTTTAACTTAAGAGGCTACTTCTTCTAGACAAAAAACTGTTACGAACTGCTTTTTTCGGTGGCAGTGCCGCTAGCTCAGTCGTCTTCTGGGCAGAGTACCCCTAATGCCACAGCTCGCAACATAAGTATCGATAACTTCGCGGTCTCACTTTACTAATCTATCGGTCATCACTAAGGGCAAAAACGTAAACAAATCTAAAATTACAATTATTGTCGGGAAAATGGATTACATTTGGTGGCTATCGATGTCCTAGCCAAGCGCTCCCACCCAACCATGGATGCCCTAAAGATGCTGCAGGGCACCACCCATTCGCTGTCGGCAGGAGCCCCCTCCTCGCGACTACGGCGGTTCCATCTCCCCCACTGGGAAAGATTACTCACACATCGTGTGTATTACAAAGGTTTTAATAAATATCGTAAGTACAATCGTTTATATACATGCTCCTAAAAACAGATCTATCCTTCCTCAGCCTTTAAGACCGAAACCTGGCCGCCGTCTCGGATATTTACGCGGTCAAAGCAGAGGATTTTGTTTGGCTGGAAAAGGGTACAGGCGCCGCGGGAATTATGCTCTACCAGCCATGTATTGGTAGAGCTCGCATGGAAACGCGGCCTCAAGGGAACATGCGCGATGCGCGTGTGTATGGTCACCTAATCCTGAGGAGCTCCAAGGGAAAAGAAGGGACAGGCCAAAAAGGTACGTAACTGCACTGTAAACTATACCATTTAACTAATGCTCGCGACCTTTTTAATTTTAGGCAAACAACGAGGACAAATAAGGCTCTCGGGTCTAACTCCGGATAAATTCACAAACAGGGAAGTAGATATCTATATATATATAATCAAGGTACACGTGTATTTAATTTTGCTAAATTTCAGCCACTATTGGGCCGGGCCTGGAGGCAATGATAGCCCGGGCGGAAGGCTTCTCGCCGGAGGCCAGCAGTGATCCGGATCTCCACACAGGAAAAAGGCGCTCTCCGGTGAGTTATGCAATGACAGTCCGAGATTCGGCTGCCAGACAAATGGCGATTCTTCTCAGCGCCGCAATGCGACCGCTGGAAGTTCCCGAGAGGAGGATGACGCGGTACTCCGGAACGGACTCACCGGGAAATGTGGACGTCGTCGTCGACTGGGAAAGGCCCTTCTTGCTGGTCGCTGATACGGGTCGAACGGACACCGTTTGCTGGGCCGCCAAGTCGGGCTGGCAGGTATGTCGAAGTCGCGCAGATGTCAGCAGATCTCCAATAAATTTTTCCGGGGCCCTTTGTATTGGGACCCCGGCTGCTTGTCAATTTTAAGCACAAAGACAACTTATTTTCTCACTCCTAGCTGAATCTGCCTTGATTGTAGGACAGTATGGCCGCGACTATCGCGGTATCTGCTGATCATCGCCCCCGCCATATTACATGGCCTCTCTCAGCATTGGGTCATTGGATACATGGGCCATTTGAAGTAATCCCAGAGCGAACCGGGATTAATCTTCAAATGGCCAGATCGCCCGCCAGACTCATCCCGCTGCTGCAGCTATCGCCCTATCGACCTAAACTATCGATAACGTCGCTCCCACTCGCCTCCAATTGCAACATCAACCAAAGATTTCGAGGGGCGCTGCCCGGAGTTTCAGCAGAACGATGAAATAATTGGTAGCTTTGGAGATTCGATGGGATTCAACACGGCACTGATACCATCCTGCAGTTCGATCGGCGCCTAACGCGGGGCCCACGCATTACGGGAAGTATGCAGATGTGATCGCGATGCTCGTATACTTTGTTTGTCCTTTTTTTCAGGTCACAACCGGATGTCTTTGGCATGATATACTCCCAGACTGCGGCCTTGGAGGTCCTCCAGCAAGTATGCATTGCTGCCGACGGATTTGACCACCCTGGCTTTAAGGAACTTTCGAGCAAACTTGGCGTTGAAAGATTTGCTGAAATCACTAAGCACGAAGTTGCGGCGGAAGACTTCTTGTCCTGGCTTGGCGAGCAGCGTACGGGCTCGCTTATCGTAGCGCTGCCGGCTCGTCTGGTATGCACCCTCCAGTTGCTTCTGCACCTTGGCGTGGATTACCCGAAGCTTGTCCTTGGTCTGCATTCCGGCCATTTCATGATCGACCAGAGACCTGAGTCGTCTGGCTAGTTTGTAGCTGGAACCGTTGAGGAACATGTGATGGCCGAAAACGGTGAAGAACGGCGCTTCCCCTGTGGCTGAGTGGACAGAGTTTCGGATGGCCACCTCAATCTCCGGCAGATGTGCATCCCATTCCCGGTGATCTTCGTCCAAGAAGCTGCGAATCGCGGCCAAGACGTTCCGGTTTACCCTCTCCGCGGCATTGCTCTGTGGTGAGTATACGGGAGTCCTCATGTGCTGTACACCGAAGCCATCGATCATCTCCTCAAACGCCTTGGATACGAACTGTTTGCCGTTGTCCGAATGTATTGTCTCAGGCACCCCGAACTTGTAAAATACCTCGTTTACCAGGAAATTTACAACGTTCGACGCCGTCGCCTCCTTCATCGCCTTTAAGAAGATGTACTTCGAGAAGTGGTCCACCACGATAAATATCCAGGCGTGTCCACTCTTGGACCTCGGATACTTGCCCAGGAAGTCGACGTACAGTTTCTGGAATGGCCTCTCCGTCTCTACCCTTCTTCCGATTCCGACCTGCATCCGGAAGTTTGGCGCTTTGGATTCCTTGCACACCTCGCAACTCCGGACGTATTCCCGTACCTGGATGGTCATCCCTGGCCAATAGAACTGGCGTCGCAGGATCTCTAAGGTCTTCGTCATCCCACCATGGCCAGCCTTGGGGTCCGAATGAGCACGCTCTAGCAAGCTGTGCGTCAGGCTTTGCGGAATCCACAGCTTCCATTCGGATCCTTCCAATTCCTCGTCCATTTTGGGATTACTCATGCGCTTGAAGATGAGTCCGTCGTCCACCTTGAGGTCCGGTAAGTGCTCCCTGTTAGACTCCACGTCTTGCACTAATTCCTTATAGTCCTCCGCAGCAAATTCGGTCGTCTCGAATCCCAGTAACTCCGTTGGATCTATCCGGACTTCCTCGATGATGCGGGATAGAGTGTCGGCGACTACGTTCTCGCTGCCTTTGCGATGTTCAATGCTGAAATCGTAGCCCTGCAGCTGGAGAGACCATCTTGCGAGTCGTCCGGACAGATCCTTCATCGTCATCAACCACTTTAGGCTGGCGTGATCAGTAATGCAAGTGAACGGCATCCCTTCCACATACGGTCTGAACTTCCGAATGGCTAGGATGGCCGCCAGACACTCCTTCTCCGTGACCGAGTAATTCACCTGGTGCTTGTTCATCTTGGCCGAGAAGAACGCGATGGGCTGCTCGTCTCCGTCCTGGTTCCGCTGAAACAATACCGCGCCGACGCCAACGTGGGATGCGTCGCACTGGATGAAGAAATGCTTCTTGAAATCCGCATGAACCAGGACCGGCGCGCTCGTCAAGGCCAACTTCAGGTCATCCACTGCCTGGGTGGCGCTGGGACTTAGGGAAAACTTCGTGTTTCCAGCCTTCTTCAAAGACTCGGAGAGTGGTGCGGCTAGCGTAGCGAAGTTCTTGACGAACCGTCGATACCATCCCGCTGTGCCGAGGAAGGCACGTACTTCCTTCATGGATTTCGGGTAAGGCATCTTCTGGATTGCCGTAACACGTCCAGGATCCATCCGCAGCAGTCCACCTCCGACTATAAACCCTAGGTAAGTCAAAGATTTGAAGCAAAACTTCGACTTCTTTAACCCTATGGTCAATCCGGCTGATTTCAGACTGTGGGCTACCCGACGCAAGTATTTCAGGTGCGTCTGAAAGTCTGGAGCCAGGATTAGCAGGTCGTCCAAGTAGACGAAGACGTTGGATCTGAGCTCCGCTGGTATCACCCGATCCATGAGTCGCACCAAGCGTTGGGCCGCGTTGCACAGTCCGAACGGCATCATTCGGAATTGGTACAACGGCCTGCCTGGAACCGTGAACGCAGTGTACGCCTTGCTCTTCTCATCCAGTTCGATCTGCCAAAACGCAAACTTCAGGTCAACGCTGGAGATGTAATGCGTCTGGTCTATTCTGGAGAGGATTCCTTCTATACTGGGCAGAGGGTATGCATCTTTGATAGTCAAGGCGTTCAACTTCCGGGCATCCAGGCAGAACCGGTCTTTCCCTGGCTTCGACACCACTGTTGTGCGATTGCTCCACGGGCTTTTGCTCTCCTCGATGACACCCAGCTCCAACATCTTGTCGATTTCGTCTTCGACCACCTTCTGCTTCGCCGGAGACATCGGATACGGACGATCCTTAAAGACCCGAGCTCCTTCCGTCAGCTCGATGGAATGCCTCTCCATGCTGGTGACCCCGAGGCCGTCCCTCTCAAAGGTAAGGAACTCCTCCTTGACTTTGCCTAACGCCAGCTTTTCCTCCGCAGAAAGGCTCCAGGATTCGGGTTCCTCCCTTACCTCGTCCTCATCTTCCTGGTCGGCATAGTGCTCCATCTGGCTGGCATGGATTTCCTCCGCTGCCTTGACGCCTCTCGTCGGCGGCTTCCCCACGACGGCTGGAGCTAGTCCGAAGGCTCGCCAGAAGTCGACTCCGAAGTACGCCGTTTGTTCCAGGTATGGGCACAGGTAGAACGTGACCGGCTTACTTACGCCTTTGTACCTCACAGGCAGCTCCAAGCGTCCGATGATGGATCGATCTTCGCCAGAAGCCGTACGGACTACCGAAAAATACGGTTGGACGGTAACTCCCAGCGCTTCCACGAGCTCTCGACAGCCTTTGCCCAGCACACTTACGCTAGCGCCTGTATCCAACAAGCCGTTGAGCTGCTTGCCCAAGGTCTCCACGTCGGCGAAGGGTCGAGGATCAGCGGAATCAATGCGCTTAACGGCCGCCACCACCTCTCGTCGTCTGGACCTCCTCATCCTGAAGCGCTCCCTTGCCTTCTGGACTCTCCGTGAGACCAGACGCATGCCGCTCAGCTGATGCTCCGCAAAGATCCGGTTCCGTGCCTCCATATAACGGCGAAGCCTACCTCCGGTAGGTATCTTAATAAATACTTATTACTATTAGATGGACTATGTACTTTCTTTTCTTCTTCTTCTTTCTTCGGCACTACTTCGCGGGATTCCAACCTGGGCGAGTCCCTCCCGCTTTCGGACTGCCCAGCCGACCGTTTTCCGCGCAATCGGGACATTTCGGAGAAATGACGCCCGGCTTGCCGCACCGGAAACAAAATCTCCTCCACTCCGTGGCTTCGCAATCTTGGAATCCGTGCTCCGCAGCCCCGCAATTCCAGCAACCTGGCCTAAATGGATTTCGGACTCGCCCACGTAGCTCGTCCACCTCCAGGTGTCGCTGCTCGTCGACTTCATCCTGTACGTGTGCCTCGCTGACCCGTATCTTGTTCTGCTGCAGGTAAGCAGCACGCCCTCGACGACCGAAACTCCTCTCCACTTCGACGCACTCTTCCCGAAGTTCGTCCACCGTGAGTACGTCCATCGCGTAAACATATCTAGCGATGCCATCCCTCAAGCCCTTTTTCACCACCTTAACCAACTGCCGCTCTGGCATTGGTTTTTTCAGGCGTGAGGCGAGTTGCTGCATCGAGTGGATGTAGTCATCCGCACTCTCTCCCGGCTGTTGCTCACGTTGTAGGAGCTCGTGCATCCTTTCGTGTTCCGTCTGGTGGCCACGGAACCGATCCATCAGAGCCCTGCGCAGCTGGGCCCAAGTGTCCACTCTGGACTGGCGTACGTGTACCCAGTACCACTCCTTCGCTCTGCCCGATAGGAGTACGTGGAAGTTGCGCAGAACTTCACTCCACGGACACTGATGCTGCCGCTGCAGGAACTCCAGACGGAACACGAAGTCGTCCACGGAATGGCCATCGTCCTCGCCGCTGAAAGAGAGGTTCCAGCGGTCCACTCTGATGTAGTGGTTCCCGTTGCCGGCTCCAGCGTTTGCGTACCACCGCGGCTCGTCCCGAAAATCCACCGTCCTTCGGTCCTCGCGCCACGGCCGTGCATGGCGATCACTCCTGCCTGTCGGATGGTACTCGGGTTCCTGGCTCAGGCTGCTGTCGATCCCTGGAGAGTCATTTACCGGCAGTCGAGGTCGCTGCCTGGGTGGTAATTCCGGTGGTCTTCGGTAGCCTCCTCCTGACTCCTGCCGCTGCTGAACTTCCGCTGGACCATTTGCGCCGCCTTCCGGACACGACGGAGTGGGCACCATTGACCCTTGGCGACTCGCGCCCTCCTGGAGCGGCTGCGGTTTGCTCTCGGCTGGCCTCAGGACGTCGTTCAACAACTTCATCATGTCGATGAATCCGTTCCTGATTTCGTCCCGCAACGCCTGGCTCACTCCTACCTCCTGTGACGCGCGATAGGTTTGGGCAGCCTGTGCCAGAGCTGCGTTCATCGCCGACTCCGCCGCTGTATCCTGTCCCAGGCTTAGCTTTTGGGGACTCTTCTGCTCCGGACCCAGAAGTTGATCCTGCGCCTCGACGATCGCCTTAAAATCCAGGACCCTGGGCGACCGATGGTGCAGCAGGTCCGCCGGTTGATCCCTAACCCGATCCTCCGCACTACCGCCTACCGGCGTTCTGGGTAAACCCCCAGCCAGCGATATCCGCGGCAACCCAGCGGCACCCTCTACGTCCGTGGACCAGACATCGTCCTTGTCGTCGCCAGGAGGACCCATCGACCTGAGCTGGTGACCGTGCTTATCCCTGACGTCCTTACCCTCGGACATGTTTCCCAAGAATTTTGAAATAAATACTTAAGAACTACTAATACGATAATAAATATGATAAATAAATAAATAAATAAGACAACAAATAAATACAATAATAAATAATATAATAAATAAGAAAATAAATACGAAAAGAACTAATAGCAAAAATAAATAACAATAAACAAATCTTCCTCACTTTCCAACTCCTTTCCAAATCTCCTATTTTCTTGTATTATATTTTTCCTCCTCTACTCTTGATTTGGGGAGATGGAACTGACCCTCGCCGGTGGGCTTCCGACCTAACTGTCTTGCGCTTTTTCCAAAAATCCTACTTTCCCGTCTCCGCCTAGCCGTTCGTCAACTGGACTAGCTATCACCCGTGGTGATAGCCGCCAGTTAAGGACATCGGCTGGTTTGGCTCCTGTTGGCTTTTCTTTCCCGCCCTTTTTTTCTATTTTAAATCGAGGTAACCGTGCAGCGCGTAGGGTTGCTACGGGTCACGATTACGCTATTAAGTTCACAACCGACATAAAATTAGAAGTCCAGGACGGGGAGAAAAACCCAGGAACACCACATCCTAACAAAAAAAAACATTTCAAATAAACAAATAACAAAATACAAGCCTTAAAACTACTCTATCACAGAAATTATCACAGATTCTCTTCAGTGCATCCCGTGACGCAAATCTTGGTTTGCCCCAAGATGCCATCACCGGTTCACTGGTAAACCTGTGACCAGGAGCAAATCGTCGGCAATGTCGACGTGCCTCCCGTTCTACTTCCAACTTCCCTACTCAGCTGACTTCCCCGTCACCACTCCCTAGCAATTGCAATCTATGTTGCAAGCCATAGGTCGTGATGGCGGGGGCGTCAGGGTCATAAATGGGCGAGACGTCGTCGCCTCGACAATTTATTTTGTTTAAATTGGGCGCCAATATGTTACGAACTGCTTTTTTCGGTGGCAGTGCCGCTAGCTCAGTCGTCTTCTGGGCAGAGTACCCCTAATGCCACAGCTCGCAACATAAGTATCGATAACTTCGCGGTCTCACTTTACTAATCTATCGGTCATCACTAAGGGCAAAAACGTAAACAAATCTAAAATTACAATTATTGTCGGGAAAATGGATTACATTTGGTGGCTATCGATGTCCTAGCCAAGCGCTCCCACCCAACCATGGATGCCATAAAGATGCTGCAGGGCACCACCCATTCGCTGTCGGCAGGAGCCCCCTCCTCGCGACTACGGCGGTTCCATCTCCCCCACTGGGAAAGATTACTCACACATCGTGTGTATTACAAAGGTTTTAATAAATATCGTAAGTACAATCGTTTATATACATGCTCCTCTTAACAGATCTATCCTTCCTCAGCCTTTAAGACCGGTCAAAGCAGAGGATTTTGTTTGGCTGGAAAAGGGTACAGGCGCCGCGGGAATTATGCTCTACCAGCCATGTATTGGTAGAGCTCGCATGGAAACGCGGCCTCAAGGGAACATGCGCGATGCGCGTGTGTATGGTCACCTAATCCTGAGGAGCTCCAAGGGAAAAGAAGGGACAGGCCAAAAAGGTACGTAACTGCACTGTAAACTATACCATTTAACTAATGCTCGCGACCTTTTTAATTTTAGGCAAACAACGAGGACAAATAAGGCTCTCGGGTCTAACTCCGGATAAATTCACAAACAGGGAAGTAGATATCTATATATATATAATCAAGGTACACGTGTATTTAATTTTGCTAAATTTCAGCCACTATTGGGCCGGGCCTGGAGGCAATGATAGCCCGGGCGGAAGGCTTCTCGCCGGAGGCCAGCAGTGATCCGGATCTCAACACAGGAAAAAGGCGCTCTCCGGTGAGTTATGCAATGACAGTCCGAGATTCGGCTGCCAGACAAATGGCGATTCTTCTCAGCGCCGCAATGCGACCGCTGGAAGTTCCCGAGAGGAGGATGACGCGGTACTCCGGAACGGACTCACCGGGAAATGTGGACGTCGTCGTCGACTGGGAAAGGCCCTTCTTGCTGGTCGCTGATACGGGTCGAACGGACACCGTTTGCTGGGCCGCCAAGTCGGGCTGGCAGGTATGTCGAAGTCGCGCAGATGTCAGCAGATCTCCAATAAATTTTTCCGGGGCCCTTTGTATTGGGACCCCGGCTGCTTGTCAATTTTAAGCACAAAGACAACTTATTTTCTCACTCCTAGCTGAATCTGCCTTGATTGTAGGACAGTATGGCCGCGACTATCACGGTATCTGCTGATCATCGCCCCCGCCATATTACATGGCCTCTCTCAGCATTGGGTCATTGGATACATGGGCCATTTGAAGTAATCCCAGAGCGAACCGGGATTAATCTTCAAATGGCCAGATCGCCCGCCAGACTCATCCCGCTGCTGCAGCTATCGCCCTATCGACCTAAACTATCGATAACGTCGCTCCCACTCGACTCCAATTGCAACAAAACTTTCCCGATGGTATCTTGATTAGACAACGTATTAGGCACCACCGCTACAAGGGTTTGGTAACTATCTATATTCAAGCCACATCAATAAAAAAAAAGACTGGATAGTGGTAACCAACTTACTCTAGGTGCTGTTTACTGACCCCCTCGTTTTATTGTAATTGAAGGTGAGTTTATGCAGTTCTTTAACTCATTAGGCGAGCAGTTCATCGCACACACTGGGGATCTCGTGACTCCAAAAGAAAAGCAGCTTTATAATGCAATCATAAAAGCCAGCAACAAGCTTGACCAACATAACAGACCCAAAATAAAAAGACTTAATTGACTTGGCAATAACTAAAAACATTCATAGGATCCTGATTAGCGCCGAAAGTTTTTCGGATCTTTGATCTGATCACTCGCCTGTGCTGATTAATCTACTACGTCATCCAATAACCGAAGATCAACCAACTTTTGTAAACCAAAACAAAAACAATTAAGTACGCATCTGGGTTTGCGCTGCAAAAAAATAAAGGGAAATTTATAAAAAAGCGTTTAGGTATTAGCTACCGCATATATATATCATATTTGTTCCATAATTTATCAAAATATCGTCCATTTTATTTACGTAATCGTCCATCCATATTTAATTGATATATTTATAATATTGCTTAAGAAAAAAATGAATCTGAATTGGTAAAATAAAGGTGAGGGACCACAATGTGCTCCAAGTAAGGTAGGGCAAGTATTTGGGTGAAATATAGGAGGTAAAAAAGTGTTGCCTTAAATAAAATATTATGTATGTGTTGGTACCAACAGAGGAAATTCGAAAATGTATCTTTTTTCGACTTTTGCGGCTTTTGCAAGCAGAACTCAAAGTCTCATCTGCTTGTTTGTTTACGTTTGCATCGATAGACCGAGACCGCTGATCAGCCGGCTTGTTGTGCGACCAGAGGGCTGGAAGGATCCAACCGTGGGATTTGCTAGCTAGCCGGCCTTGCCCGATGCAAAAACCAATTTATTAGTCTCGTCAATACCTATCGATTGACCCAAAAAATGTTTTTAAGGACTTGCGATTTTTTCAAGTTTGATTCAAAATTTAGAAAGACTTTTTCGTAATATTTTTGCTAAGGTCTATCTTATCAGTGTGTTTCTGTTTTTCATTGCAAATGATTGCAAATTTTAATTACAGAAGTTTTAAAAACTTGTGAATTTTTAAAATTGTTATTTCAAATTCAAAGATAGTTTATTTTGAGAATTTTTCAAAAGCCATGCATTTCAAAGGAAAGCAAATATTAGAACTGGGGTATTTTCGGTTTGCTGCGCGACGTGCGTGTTTGTGCGAATGACAGTGCGAGCAAGCGAGATGTAGTAGTCATCTGGAGAAAACTGCTGCTCGACACTGCCTGAGAAATTAAACGGCCTTTTGGTGAGAACGCATTCAATCACGAAAAATGCAACCGCAGTTCGGATTTCAAAATCTGAATGTACTCAATAAAACGATTCCCACCCCATTGTTGTTTCTCTGGTCTGGTTAGAGGTTGGATATCACAGTTACAGGTCCTCAATGATATTTTATACAGAAATAAAGAAACTGTATTTGCTGCAGGGCCAAGGAGCCGTCCAACGGATCGGAGCTAAGCAAATGATCTTATCGTGAAAAGGGACTAACCTCCAGCTTATGTCCTTCCTGGCAAGACCAGGCAACTGTTTCACCAAAACAGAATTTGTTGTCTAAAGAATATGTAAAAAATTAAAAAATTATTGCTTAGGAATGGGTATAGTCAAAGAACCGTATTCGAGAAAGTTGTTATACCTACTTAAAAGGGTAGAAATTCTCGTCGCGTCACTGTTGGCCCACAATATCCCCTGTTCAATTTTCATTACGCTTGCCTGATTGAATCTCTTAACCTTGATGAATTTGCTAATAGCAATGCAAAAATCATTTGGCGGACATTATACATGCTAGCGTGTCAGCATGGGCTGTCTCATTTACCGTTGAAGCGAGTTGTAGCGCCCTTTAGCAGTCTCTTTCTAGCACGAGTATTTCCCATGAAAAGAAAATTTCTGAAGCTGAATTTGGCCGCTGAAGTAGAAGCCCCCTCTGTGTAAATGGGGTATAACTGTACCACACGGGTATAGTCTATGCATAAATACTGTGTAGTGTAAGAAGCGCCTGAGTGACTGACGCTCAAAGGCTGCGTACACCAAGGTGAAGCTATGGTGCTAACTCGGTTTTTCTTGACAGGCTTAGCATATGCATCTAGTGGTGGGCGGGTGCTTGGAATCTTTCGGCAATTTTTCCTATCATTGTCGGTCCACCACTAGAGAAGTAAACAAAAACAGCTGTTCTGGCACAGCAAGGTACACAGTCATACGTAATAAGAAGTGTGTTGACAGGGGGTGTGGAGTTATTCGTCAATAAGATACATATAACAGGGAGTGGGATACTTTAATATATATAATTAACCATATTAAAGAGCTTTGCGACAAAGAAATCAAATTAATGTATATACATTTATTAAAACCCAAGAGAAGGATCGAAAGTATGTGCATATTTGCATAGAAAACATTGACAAAGCATTTGATTGCCCTCCGGGGATAACCGAGTATAATCACTAGTTAAAGTGATCGGGTTAGTGGCTCACTTGATAGGTAACCCGACCTAGTGTGACAAGGCTATAATATGAAGCACATCGCTTCTATTATAGTCCCCGCAACAACGACTTTAAGCGGATTTCTGTTCACATAGAGAATAGCTAAAGCGAACATCTGATTGGCATGAGAAACTCGTATCAGAAGTGAGAGGACGTGGAAGTTCAGTTGCTCATAAAATATAAAGAAAATCTCAAAACTATCGCCAAATGACTATTTCATGGCTATTAGCAAGTTCTTCAAAGCTGAGATTTCCACTGAGGCAAGCATAGCTTGCCTATCTTGAGTCAAAAGTAACACCATAAGAATTTCTATAAGTTAGAATCGTTTGGACCTATTTAAGCATTTATAACACCTTTCTCCCACACAATGTTCTTTGACTATATTTGTTTTGCAAGAATCGTGCATGCGCCTTCAAATGGCTTTTTCTTTAGCTAAATAATGTACGATTTTGTGCAACAGGTGCCAGGTCCTGTCAAGAAGGACATAAGCTGGAGGTTAATCAATTTCTTAGAAATGAGAATGGCAATATTTATTTTTAAGATGAGATCAATTGCTGGGTTCTGAACCGTTGGAAGCTCCTTGGGCCTGCACCAACAATATATTATTATAACGACGCCAATGCAGTTCAAATGCATATCGTTTCTTGCAACCGTGTGCTTGAAGCGGAATTTTGTAGCTGAAGCGGAAACCTCCTCTGTGTGAATAGGGTATTAGGAATGAGGTTACACTTTTTCAAAATAACGATGCAATTATTACTTCCATTGGGTTTTTTTCCCGAAAGTCTAAATGGCCCCACTTCAAGCCGGTTAATAAGTTTAGTAGTATTTTGTTTTAAGCGGCTTAATATGGGTGATTGGGCTAAAAAAGCAGAAGACCAGGAAGTCTCTAAGCTGGTACTAGATTTTTTCCTAAAGGATTATTTATATAATTAACTTATATTGGTTATAGGTCGACCAGCTCAACATTGAGTCGGGTAGTCCTTATAGTCAGAACAACAAATCGTCAGATAGTAATTTACCAGATCCAAACAGTGGCGAGGATGGCGAACCAGACGTCGCTGAGTAAGTAAGAATTATAATAACATGATTTAATCAATGGATGTACAATATATACTGCCGAACCTACATATGTAAGTGTTGGCACGCTTAGCATCTTGAACTCCAAGTGCGCTTTTCTACCTTAATAAATGTTTTATAAAATTCAACAAAACTATTTTAAATAAATGGAATATTTAACAACCCAATTCATTTTGTTTCATTGAATCATCTCTAAAAATTAAATTTTTAAAATTATAAAACCAAAAAAAAAAACAGATTTTGCTGAACAAAAGTCTTAACACACTTGTCTTTTTAATAACTATTTTGTTAAGACTTAGCCGATTTGATGGTTTTTTTTTTTTTTTTGCTAAATTATAGTATAATACAACATAAGATATAGAGATATACTAAATTAGTATCATAAATTAGTATCATAAAATAGATTTAGTATCTTAAGTTACACCAAAAATGGTTACATATAAAAACAACAAAAATAAATATTCTGATCTCTGCGACAAATAATATTTTATATTCAGGAACAGGGTCAGCTGTATACTAAAATTTGTGAATAGGTGCCCTGAAGTCGATTTTATCGTTCGGAGCTTTTTATGGCGTTCTAAAGGATTCTAACTATGCAAAAATGCAAATCACATAAAACGATACTAAGCTTTGAGTGGCCAGTGAGGCAATAAAATCACATAAAAGGATAATGACAGCCCTCAGATCTACTCAGCACTGATGACTGACTGACACGTTAGGATAAGAAGGTCTTTTGCAAGGATATTTTCCCAGTAGCCTACCGAAAGGCCATGTCAAGTGACAAGTACAAGTTTTTTGCAGCTAGACAAAACAAACTGATTATAAAGGTCAAGAATATAACCAGTTATGGATCGAAAAACGGTATCCCAAATGGATTTTGGGTTTCTAGCTGCAAAAAAAATTGTACTTTGTCTTAAGGAAATAGTTATTAAAAAGACAAGTGTGCCAAGACTTTTTTCAGCAAAATCTGTTTTTTTTTGTTTTTATAATTTTAAAAATGTATTTTTAAGAGATAATTCAATGAAACGAAATTAATTGGGTTGTTAAATATTCCATTTATCCAAAATAATTTTGCTGAATTTTATAACACGTTTATAAAGGTAGAAAAGCGCACTTGAAGTTCAAGCTGCTAAGTGTGCCAACACTTAAGTTCGTCACTGTACATTATACATTAAACTTTCTCCCTTTAAAAGGAAAAACAAAAGTAGTCAAATCCTTTTTTTCGCATAACTACTTACATCTTAATTAAATGCGCTAATGCTATTTGTATTCCTTTCACTTCCGAAAAATTCAACCGGACTCGAATTTATTTATAATTAATTATTATGTGATTCAACCGCACAGCCCGGTAACTATTGCAAATCTTCCGCTCCTGTTCTGAAAGGGATATATTTTGCCGACTTCGGCAACTCTTTTTCTTGATAATTTTACAGTTATAAAACAGCTGTATTATAGAAAGAAAAAAAGTCGTTTCCGTCCCTATTGTACTGGGTGGCCCACGAAAGACTTGCGTTTTAAAATAGCTATAAAAAACAACGAGTTTATATTTTTCAAAAATGTTTATACCCGCTACTCGTAGAGTAAAAGGGTATTCTAGATTCGTCGGAAAGTATGTAACAGGCAGAAGGAAGCGTTTCCGACCCCATAAAGTATATATTTCTTGATCAGGATCACTAGCCGAGTGGATCTAGCCATGTCCGAAAATATTTTTATAAAAGAAATAAGAAATATAAGAAAATTAATCAACTTTGAAAAGTGCGTTGAAGTTCCTTTAAGGCTGCTCCCGACTCCTGTGCTATGGATTGCACATTGATAAGTGTTTTCTGGTGACTGTTCACCTGCAATCGCGGCGTCTCGTCTGCAGCTATAATGCAGTCGGAGCACACGTCGTATGCTGCCTTTACCGTTTGCCACAAGGAATTGAAGTGATCTCGTCGGATTTTACAGGCGGATAACGTTGGGGCAGGAGCACCTGGAGCGTTCACAGTGTCCTCAAAGTGGATCAGACAGTCAAGCTGTGGCCATAAATCGGGTTAAAGCGGATTTTACTGATGTTCCCATGACGTTAAATAATTTAGAAATTTAATTGAGAAGTAAGGAAACGGACTGGAATCAAATTGGAATTTAGGAACCAATTAAGATTGTAAATATATACGATCACACTGTCGGGTAGGCAGAGTCAATAAATATTTATTATATCGGATGGTCGGAATTATGTAAAGAATTACGGACTTTTATATTGTATGTTTGAAAGGAACATTTATTGTGAGCTCTTGACCCACTGTGCACTGGCGAAAATATCGATATACGTATGTATGTACACTGTACGTATGTATATATGTGGGGTGCGAATAGCATAATAACGTTGCGGGAATGGGAAAGACTTCGCTTATGTTTGTATGTCGGTGCGTTTGTTTGTCACCTGCAAAACTAAATTGCAAACGATTTGCTGGAGTAAATTTGTGGAATTTGTAACTTTGTTTTTAATTTTAGAAATAGTTTAGCCGTATTTGTAGGTCGAGAAAAGTAGTTGGAGTGGACTGTATTAGAAAGAGTAGTTAGAGTGGACTGTATTAGATTGTTTTTGTAAATATACACCCGCAGCTGGAACACAGTAAAAAATAAAGAGTGCAAATCTTAAGAAACAATTTTATTATCGGGAATTTTTTACTATGGCTGAGTTATATTTTACACACGATTGGAATTGAAAATATCTTTGACAAATACTTTAGTTGAATAGTAGCAATGAAATATCTACTGGAATTGTTTCAAGTGTACAATTGTGGGCAAAGGAAACTGGATTATTGTCGGGCACAAGTAACGGAATTGAAATACATACATATATTTAATGCCGTTGCGTCGGATTAATCACTTTTGGATTTAGACAATATATCATACAGAAAGTTAATCGAAATAGGGTTCGAAAAACTGGCTGTATGACCGGCAATTATAGTAAGTGGAACTTATCTGGAGAGGTTCAAGCCTGCTGGAACAAAATCAAAGGAAACTCCAGGAGAGGAAAATCCTGAAATTAAACGCCCTTTTGACGTAAACACTGATAGTCGAGACAGTCGACTTTACCGTTCTCTCCTTTTTATGATTGACATAAAGAAAATTGCTGATGATTATAACTCGCTCAATTTTTAAAAGAACAAAGTACATAGCATGTGAAATTCCCGCGGATAGCTCAAAAATATAATACATATGTATAAAGCTGCCATAGAAATGATTAGCTTAATTTTGTTGTTTTCGGAGATAAATGTAAATAGCTTTATGTAAAGTTTCGTATTTATCGGACGAATATATATTCTTGATTTTCCGACCACCAGTTTGCGGTGTCGATAATAGTCTGCCAGCTTGTTGCATGTGCAACAGGAGTATCTGTCAAAAGGGGACGTATATTCTTCACCTAGTTCGGGTCCTTTACCTCCGAGAAAAGCCGTCTTCTTTAGAATTAAAATATCTGATACGTTTGGGGTATAAAAACGTCTTGAACTTAATCCCCCATAAACTACCAAAATACGTACAGTGGTGCTCATAGACTTAAGCCACAAGACTTCAACCAAGAATTTAAACGAACATTAAGAAAAGTTTTTATTTCACATCCCCAATTTGTTGTGTCACATTAGTTCTACATATCAGTGTTATAATAGAAGAATAACCAAGTTATAAAAATATATTTTCAACGAGAAACTTTAAAAATCTGTGACCATCTCCAAAATGATCTGCTCACATACTTAAGGCACCTGGAAAAAAAAGGTTCAAAAAGTTTAAATTTGCCCAATATTTCTTTTACTTTTAATAAATTTACTTTAATATTGATTGGGATGACCTTTCTGCTTAAGAACAGAGCAACGCTTTGGCATTGAATCCACAAGACGTGCGCACCGTTGAGGGGTGATTTTCTTCAACTCTTCTTGCGAAATTCGCCACAAATCGTTTTTATTTGCTGGTTTTTTTTGGCCAACGACTTGTTTAAGAATTCCCCACAAGTTCTCTATAGGGTTTAAGTCGGGGCTCTGCGGTGGCCAATGCAAAACATTGATTGCCTCTTGGTTAAGCCACGACTTGACTATCTTACTGGTGTGTTTCGGGTCGTTCTCCTGTTAAAATATCAAGGCAAGTGGCAAATTATCGGCATATTCTTCAGATAAATTGTTAATGAGGAAGTCCCTGCACATTTCGCCGTTCATAAAGCCTTCTATCTTCACTAGGGCCCCTACGCCCGATGCGGTGAAACAGCCCGAGACCATAATCGAAGCGTCCCCATGTTAAACGGTCTTCTTCGTGTGTTTGGGGTCCAATTGTTTGTTGGGAGGGCGTCGTACATATGGTTTACCATCACTTCCAAAGACATTAAAGTTGGATTCTTCGCTCCAAGTAATCATTTTCCAAAAATTGGCACCTTTTTGATTATGCTCTCTGGCTAATTGAAGGCGCTTTTTGACATTTTTAATGGACAGCAATTTTTTTTTTTGGGCAATGCGTTCATATAACCCGAATTCATTTAGCCGTCTTCTTATGGTTTGAGGTGACACATTCACGCCATAATCTGCCACCATTTGGCCTCTGATTTGCGTCGAAGTCAAGAACGGATCGGTTTTACTGATTTTGGCAATCCGTCTGTCGACGCTTAAAGTGGGTTTTCTGGGCTTTTCACGTGGAATATTTTCCCGGGTTCCATGTTTCTTTTAAAATGCAATTTCATTTCTGACTTTGCCACGCGAAAAATGTAAAGTCTTACAAATTTGTGGAATACTTGTGTTCTTTTTTGGATGGAGGGATTTTCTCACTGCTGAATGGGTTTTTGGCAACTGCGCAAATACAAAAAAAAAACTTTTCAAACTTGCGTATCTTGGAGAGTCCATTTGGAATCCATTAGCAGGTTATACTCGATACTAGTAGAGTAAAAGGGTTTACTGGATCCGTCGGAAAGTACAGCTGCGGCAAAAAAAATAGCACCATTGTGTGGGCAGTTTTTCTTT